GAAACGTTGCTACAACTTTAAAAGCACAACTACAATGACGTGGGAAAATACCCGAACAAAACTGAATACCATATATATGTGTGCGTGTGTGTGTATGTATGTATGTATGTATATATAAATATGTGTGTGTGTGTGTGTGCGTGCGTGCGTGAGTGTGTTAGTATGTACAATGTTATGTAGATTTAATTCCCATTAAACTAAGTTGGTTTAGTTTAGGGAAATAGATGCAGGAATGACAAATGCAAATTTAAAATACCATCTCAGTATGGTCCTTCAGTATTGTTATCATAATCCTTGTGATATTTTTAGTTTTTAGTTTTAAATTGTAAATTAATTTCTGTTTCTTTCAAAGGCAAGCGTTCAGTATGCTACCGTTCATCAGAAATATTTGGAAGTGCTAAAGTTGCATGAAGAAATAAAAGAAGAATGTGAAGCAAAAAGACTATATATGTTTGAGCAAATAGAAGCTGATGAGACTACATTAAACCAGCTTAGGTAAATATATTTTAACTTTTTAAGATAATTATTCTTCAGGAAATTTCCATTTATACATAAAAAAACCTTGAGTTTCAGTATAACAGATCTTGATTCTTTTTGAAAGTTATGTTGTACTTATATACAGAATACATATACATATACATATATTATTCAATCTTGTCCAATTCTCAGAGATTGCTTGGTCAAGTCCCTGCAATGTTTTTCAGGAAAAAAAATTGTTGGTTTGAGAGAATAGGAGAAATAGTAGAACTTTTGCTAAAGGGAGGAGAGGAAGTAATTGGTAAGGATTAATTAAGGTATTAATTTAAGCTAATATGTAATACAGGCAAAGCTTGTAGAATTTTCTTGTAGCCAGAAATGAAGAATGGATTCTGGAAGATTAAAAAAAAACAACTATCTTGCACTTTGTGCAGGAGGGAGGAAGGGCATAAGGAAGATGGGCTAGTAGATCTTGTCATGCTGACTTATTGACAGCAGTTGAAGGGAGAGGAAGGAAGTTAGTCCAGTATATCAAGTTGGTTGCTACTGAGGGGATGAAGAGAAAGAAGGAGAAATACATATCAGTTTTGTGCTTCCATCCCTTCCTTCATCTGCCACAGTTGATGTTTTTGGCTTTTCCTAGCTTTTCCCCTTCTCTGAAAGATCCATGCATCCACTTTGTTCAATGCATGAACCAATATATTTCAAATATATGTTTCATTTCAGGCATGAACCAGCCAAAGATAACTGTTTTGTGTATGGAATGTTTTGGGCATTCCTAGTTACTATATAGAAAAAAAGTGTCTCTTATCAGTGATAGCACTCATAATTTAGGTAATATTTCTAATTACAACAATTCTCTGACTTGGAAGCATAATTTCTGTGTTTATGAGATATTACAATTATAGTTTTGCATCTAGCAGTTCTCCTTAATTATTGCAGATTATCAAAATAAGGAATTTACAATCAGAAATTCCTCACCGTAGTGAAAATGAAGTTGTGATGAATTTTTGGATTGGATCCTATCTACTAGGAGCAGAATTCTGCTCGTGGAACAGGGCTTTCTTCCTGTCCTGTCTTGCTGCAGTTTTTTTCAGTAGCAAAATAGTCCCTACCCCTGTATTTTGGAGGCTCCTCTACAAAAGAAAGAAGAGGAATCACTAAGTATTGGTTACTGGCCATTATATGAAGAGAAGTTAATTTATCTTTCTAGAATATTGGCAGATATTTTAAGATCTAGAAATACTTCTACCTTTCTATGGCACTTTTTAGAATATAAAATAGTTAGTGAGCAGGCTCAGTATCTCTGCTGGACTCCCTGTCTTCTTTTATTAGCTTCCAATATACAGTATAATGCTAAACAATGTTATGCTGCAAAAATATTGTAATGGCTAAATTGACTGACAAGCTAAGATAGTAGAAATCTGTGGGCTGCAAATTACATGGAAATAAATGAAATGTACATGAATGCTAGATATCAGAACTTGAGAAAGTACTGTTGCTATATTTACTAATGGTACAAAAGATAACTGCAGTTATAAAGAGATTGATGGGACTGCAAGTATAACAATAAATGTTCACTTGATCTTTAATTCATTTGGAGAAATAGATAATTTATTCTTGCTGCTTTTTAGGGATGAGTTAAAAGAAACTGATGAGCTTTATGCTGACATCAATAACAAGATACATAGATTGAGGGAGGAAATACTGGAAAATGAAAATCACCTTGAAGAACTAATCAAGCAAGAAGCAGATACAAGAACTGACTTAAATTCTTGGCGTGATAAAGTGAGTTTTAAATATTAAGTGCAAAGCATGAAAATTTCAAAAATACAGCAGCACATGAAATACTATCATTATATCTACTAAAAACTTAGGCAACTTGCAATCAACTAATGTGTTACATGGTTCAGTTAAAAATCACATACATTCTATTTTGCACATTCCAACATCAGTATCCAGCAGGTTTTAGCAGCAGGTTTTAGCAACAGATCCCAACAGGTTCCATTAGGATTAAATCAACCTTGTTTTACCTCTCCTCAGGATAGCTACTATTAAGTTGTTATGTATGACTGATAATTAAGGACACAGACTTATTTATGGAATTCTATTTAATGACACTTCTTGGTAAATGTTTACAGGAATATACATTTAGTCCTTATAATTTTAATATTAATATAATTTGTATTGATATTGTAACTGTTCCTATGAATGGAAAGCTAAAATGGCCTTTCAGTAATGAGAAGCAATACACAATTATTTCCTTTTCTCCTTGCTCTACAGAGCTGAGAGAACTCACCTGAATAATATAAGAAGGAGCTCCATGAGGAAAGAAAGCTGACAAGCTCCGCAGTTCACTTACAAGCACCTTTTCTCACTTTGTCAATGTTCTTTTGTGAAACAAAACAGGGACAATTCAGGTTTCAAGATAGGTGCAAACATATGTTTGTATCAATTGATAAACTTATCTGGTCTAGCGTTCTGTTTCCCCAGTGGCAAACCAGATGTGTTTCATGTCGTTTGTCCATAAGCACAGTAATACTGGCTCATTCATGTTGCTCAGCAACTGTCTTTCAAAGGCATATCAGACCTTGAAGAACTGAGAAAAGTCCAGAAGCGTTTTTAAAGAAACCAAGAAGCTTGAGCAATTATCTGTGAGAAACTTTATAACTTCAGGAACACTTCAGCTTAGAACAAATGTAGATCAAGATATTTATACACATACAATTTTTGTGATATTGTATAAAATTATGTATCATGTAAAGAAATTATATATGAATAAAGAAAATATCTATAAAAACTGGGGTCATCGAATAAAGCTAAATAGTGAGAGATTCAAAACCGAGGAAAGGAAATTGTTCAAATAATAGAATTCTCTTATTTTTTAAAAGATTATAATAATGTTATCATGAAATACATTTATAATATTATTTCAAATAAATGTTAATTAAATAATGTATTTTTAATATTAGGAAAGGCGTTTGAAGTTGAAAATTTCAAGACAAGAAAGTGAAAACAAACAATTGCTAGATGAGTTTTTGAAAGAGATAAAAGTTATGGAAAGCTCAGTAAGTTTTAGAATTCACATATTTAAAATGTTTTTCCTTTCAACATGCCTTATTAAATTGAGTATTTTCATAATTATTTATATGCTATCTGTAGAAATCCAATAAAGAATATGATCTACAAAAACTGAAGGATAAGCTTGCAAATGATCTTCAGCAGTTCACTAGTTTGCAAAATGAAATCCAATATCTTAAAAATGAAAATGCTGGATTTATGTTCAAATTCAGAGACAGGTAAGTGGCACTGTGTTAATGCCCAATAAGCTTACATTCTGAATAACCCCAATTCAACAGTATTTTATTTTTAGTCTTTTTATTCTCACTAAAGACATAACACATTTGAGTTGTATATAAATTAATTTGGAGAGATTAGATTATTTATGTTGAACTTTATATTTAATTAAATATATATTTACCATATTTATCGGCGTATAACACGCACAGGCGTATAACACGCATTCCCTTTAAGAGGGAAATTTCAGGAAAAAAATATGCGGCGGGCGCAGCGCTGACATCACGTCACGACGCTGCGCCGCCGCTAGGCACTATTGGGAACGGGATCCCTTAAAGAGGATTCCGCTCCCTGGACATCGGCGTATAACACGCATACATCATTTGCCCCCTATTTTCAGGGGGAAAAAGTGCGTGTTATACGCCGATAAATACGGTAATTTATATGCAGAAAATTACCAGTGAGATAAAGGAAAATACAATGAAGGTACATACATATAAGTGTAAAAGGAAGTTGAAGAAAGATAGTATGGATAATATTTATATCTTAATAGAAGAAACATAGAACAAGGTAACAGAAATGGAGCTGTTAGATTTTAGAGAAATATGTTAGGCATAACAAGTGGGATATGATTATCTAATATTAAAATTGGTGCCACTTTGCATATCAAAATGTCAAACTGCAAATCATAACAAAGAACTAATTTGCTAAACCATTATCTAAGAAAAATGTTCCCAAGTTTTGCTTCTATATTAGAGGAATGAGTGTAATATTTGAAAAAGAGACAGTTGTAATATCACTTGTTTAATTATCAGGAAATAATTCAGGAAAATACAGGATGTCTATTCTGAATAAATTAGTGTAAACCATTATTAAAGATAAAATTATCAAAACAGTTATGCATGAATATGTTTAATGAACTTATTCAATAAGTTAGTTTATATATTTTGCTAAGGCATGGCTTGTTTTAACCATACTTTGTTAAAAATGCTGCAATGGGGGATTAATGCATACTTTTAAGGCATATACAAGGGTTCAGTACTATTGTGCGAGAACAATTCTGGGGGAAATTAGCCACTACAACAATAAACCTCCTTGTTCTTAGGCTAATAATTGTATTACACTTCAGAACAACTGTTCAAATAAAGATAATATCTTGGTGATTTAACTAAACCTATTTTCAGTAGCAAAAATGTAAAGCAAGGCTATTTCCTTACTCCACTATCATTCAACTTTAACATTAACAATATTGTTGTGATCTTTGCTAAGTCAGAATTCTATCTTCCTTCTCTTGCCCACTGGCTCATTTTTGTTCTTCTTTATGCTGATGTTGCAGCCTAGGGTTATGTCTTTAACTAAGTAAGCCTCAAAGATGCCTTAAAGTGCTCTCACTTTACTGCTTTAGTGAAAACCATCAAATAAATTATTCTATCTTGTACAAAAGTAATGATATTCTATAGGAAACACTTAAATGCCCCAGTTAGATGAATGATCAGCAATAAGAATATCAAATATCTAAAAATCTAAGTGTCTGTTTTCAATGTTCTCTTCCAACCTAAGAAGACTTATTAGTGACAATTTAATGTGGTTAAGTCTAACATCTTTATTACTGTGCCATGTAACATTTCTCAGCTATATCTGCGCTCTTCTAGTTTTACTCCATACTGATATAAAAGCCAAATTCTTGGTGATTCCTGGTAAATTTTTGCTCAAATGGTTTCCTTGACAATAAGACCAAAATGCCTTCTGCTAAGATGTTTTTTTTCAAATTTCTAGTTTAGCCTATAGTTCTTCCATAATCATGTCCAGCTTGATTAGCATTTGAAGATGAAGGTTCTAACTTTCTCCACAACAAATAATGGTTACATTAATAATGGTAAATACAGTTTTATTCTCTTTTTTGTTTACTCTATAAATATATTAAAAAATAAATTTGTATTATGTGAGTGAACTCCCAATTATAAAAGATGAAGCAAACTGTAGCATTTCTTTATAAAAGCATAACAAAATACGCAGCCTTTCTAAACTATTGAAAAAGTGCTAATATTGTAAGCAGTTTTTACATTTGTTTTAAACAGTGCAAGAAGGAAAATGGGATACCAATCAGAAATTCAGGTTTTGCAGAAAAATATTCGTAGGCTGGAAGAACATTTAAAAAAAGTAAATAAAGACCTTTATGTTGCTGAAATGGCTTATGACGACGCCAAAACCAAACTGGAGGATCTGAATGAAGGCATTGTTAAAGAAAAATCACGTTTCAAGGTTGTTTACTACTACTGAATTCATATTATGTTTAATTGTAAGATGTTAAATTATTGCATTGAACAAAATAGAATATTACTGCAGTAATCGAATTTTGTATTTAAAGAAATTGTTTTTTCTCAAAAAAGTTTTCAGTAATATTTATTTTATTTCTGTGAAAAACCTCATATCTGATTTTTTTTCTAGTTTCAGAAGCTTGCTGGGTCACTTTTTCTAGTATTTTCCACTTTTTATACTTGTCCTTTTTGTCTTTCAATTTATCAAAGAATTCTTTATGCAGTCATGCTGGTTTCTTTTGAGAGCTGTTATTTTTCTTCCTCATTGGTATTGTGCTAGACTAGGTTCATATAATCTCACTTTTCAGAATTTCCCAAGCTTCTTGAGTTATTTTCTCCTTGAGGATTCTCATCCATGGAATCCTTCCCAAGCTCTCTCTAAGTTTATTGAATTAGCTCTCTTCAAGTCCAAGACTCTTATTAAAGTCCAAGACCCTAAAGAGAAAGACATGATATATATATGAAAGAAACTAGAATAATTTTTAATTGGGTCATGATCAAACTGCTATCCCACAATCATTAAGAAATATTAGTAACTAAATAAAGAGCCAGTTTAATGTAGTGATTAAGGTGCTGATCTAGAATCCAGGAGACAGTTCTAATCCTGCCTTAAGCATGAAAACCAGCTGTGTGACTTTGGGCCAGTCACTTTCTCTCAGTTCTCCACCTCAAAGGGTTGTTATTGTGAGAAAAAACAGGAGGAGGGAGGAATACTAGATATGTTGAGTTTCGAATAAAATAATAAAGATAGGGTAAAATAAATAAATAAGAAGGGGAATGCTTTTTACTATAGTGATTTCTTCTCTTTGCAACACTATACTAGTCTGATACTGTTCCAAATAATGTGTCAATTTCCTTGTTCTCCAGGACAAATTTTAAAATGTTTGGGTAATTACAAAAGAAATAAGCAATGTTTGATTGCCTTCTTCTTAAGGCTAAGACAGAATGACTGGCCCAGCATCACCTGGTTTCCAGGCCAGCACCTTAACCATTACACCAAACTGACTGTCTCT